TGAATATATATATACACTTACCTAAGCTTACATTGAGAAGCAACTGAAAGGCAAACTGAATTTTTTTTTGCTGTTACACTGTACTTTGTTGTTGTTTTTTTTTTCTGTTTTTTTTTATTTTTTTTTTTTGCTTGTGTATTTGTATCGGTCATTCTAACTTACGTTCTCATTCATTTGACAGATATGCTGTACATATCTGATAAGTTTGTTCTGATTAAAGGCAAACAAATAAAACACAAAACGAAACGAAACGTAAGCAACACAAATTAAGTAAGAAAAGAAAATTAAGGAAAAGTTTTTACATCGGTTGCATTTAAAGAGAGATTTTTTTATTTGTTTCTTTTTGGTTTATGTTTTTTTCTTTTTTTTTTTTCTTTTTGCTTTTACTACTAAAAATTCTAAATCAGCTTAAGGACACAACAGCTTATCTTGAGGATGACATGGCAATATTACAATAACAGCAGTAACAGTGACAACATTTAAATTTCTATGCATTCATTGTAATATATAAAAATTCATAAGTTTCCTTTAAGCAGTGCTCGCTTTTGTTGTTATTATTGTTGTTATTGTAATTGTTGTTGCTATTAGTTGTTTTTGATGGCAGTAATGACGATGATAGTGATGATGAAGGCAATATGGTTGATGTTCTTTTACATTTTAAGTGAATGGAGAGAAAGTCAGTATAAAACATGAGTACTTTAAGAAAATTGCACATAAAATAAACTCATGATTTATTCATATATAAGAACTTTCAAGTCCTGCAAACGAATTTTACCTAAACAAAAACACCAAGGGAGAAGGGACGAGCGAAATAGAAAAGCGAAACATGCTTATAGACACATTTTATAAAAACTTAAATTTTCTAAAATTTTTGCCTACACCTCGAAAGCACAGTCCTCTTGAGGGGGCTACTACTGCTTGCTTGTATGCATTATAATAAAAACATATTTCAGACAACATTTAAACTATTACATTGGCTGAAACTACTTGCTGCTCTTTATTGCACCTTTTCAACTTTTACAGCACTTTGTCTGTTTTGTTTTGCAAGCATAAATCCAGGTATGTTAACTTTTTCTTCTCATTCGCAACACGGAAGAATAAGATATAGAAGGGAAAGCTTATAAAATTTACAAACCCGCCACCTAATAATATATTCATGTCCGTCCTTCTATCGAGGTATTGTTGTGGAAGTTCTTCAAATCGGAATTAAAAAACTGAAATTTTCCTAAGCGTTTGCTTCCATACATTAGATAACAAAACGGACGTGACCTACATGTCACTACATTGTAGAATTTCTAATCCATGAAAAGAAATATTCCGGAAATATTGACCATCAAGGCCGTCGGATCATTCGGTGCATAAATCGACCTGATATCTAGATGAGAGATAATATCCCGGTTTTTGAATATCCATCTTGCGGTGATCGAGTATCGAAAATTCGTTTTAAAACTTTATCTACTATTTTCTCTTTGTCACTCTCTTATACATGTATATACGTATATGTGTTCACGTGTGTGTATCATTTAATATAAACGAGAGTAGAGTAAAGTTACACTTTGTGCATTTATGAGAGAATATAAATTTTATCCATTATGTTTATTCACATTTACTTAAGTAGTTGTATTTATCAAACTTTACACATACGCACTTACACATATACAGCGACACAAATACTTCACAGTAGAATGGAAACAAGTTGTTTTTTCTGCATATTTGATTGTTAAATCTTTCATGAAATTCATGTACATGAAGAAAGCTACCGACCTTTTTCATTTTAATTTTCCATACTAAGACTATTCAGTAAAATTGTAGTAAATATACTCTTATATGTATACTTATTAACTGAAAGGTCATTTTCATATGTTAGTAAATAGTTCGGATCAAAACAGTTGCAATAATTCTTGTCTTGCTTCATTAAATTCTTTCAGCGATTCTTTTTTTTTTTTTGCTTCATTAAATATTTACGAATGTACGTAAAATACATTCAAGTGATCAAAACGTTTGCAACACCCAGAAGGAAGCTTTACAGGCTCCATGAAATGCATAGCCATATATATAGTTCATAAGCGTCAAAATTCAAATCGATTTAATCATGTCCGTCCATCTGTCTTTGCACTATCTGTGGCAAATATTCTCCTGACCATAAAAATTAAGCTATCGACTTGTAATTTAGCAGGTCGTCCTTGAAAATTGGCAAAGTCACTGAAAGAGCAAATCCAAAATACAATAGACGCAGAAGACAACGGAAAGCGGGGATTTTGCTTATCACTTGCGAACTATAACAATAAAAGCTGTTTTTCTGTTTTTAGACAACGAGGAGGAGATTCATATAGATCGAGATCGATTATAACTTTCTTACTTGTTTATATTTTAAACGATATTTATCGTAGCCGTCTATTGCTCAAGGTCTACGCATTGAAATCAACTTTGCAACGTCACAAGCCTGTTCTAAAACTACATGTTTTCAATTTCTTTGTTCCTTGCTGTTTATGTTTATAAATCGTTTTCTATAGGTTTATTTAGATTTATGCAAAAGCAACATGTGAATAAATGGACGCAAAGATCAAATTAATACAAGCAATTAAGTATAGAGCATGTGCTCTAGTAAAGCATTATAGAGTTAATGCCATTCATTTTACGAGATCTTAAAACCATTTATTGGAAGATATAACGCCATAACTTTTGCCTAGACTTAATTTTTAAAACGTCTTCTAATCATAACCCTATTCGCTATAAACGAAATCATAAACTTAATGTATTCTGTATTAGTTAAGGAAAACAATTATAGAGAGCGTCTTAATGAAAAAACTTGCTCCCCACGTCTACGTTATAAAAAGCTACAATACGTTTTAAAACTTGATACCTCTATGAAAAAGCTGCACTCAATAAATATATCATATATATAAATATACATATACATATATATATATATATATAATAAGACGACAATTATCTTGAAATCTATGTCACAGTTTGAATGTGACTTCCTGTCTGTGGGATTTTCTTTTTTCGAGAAATGCTACGAAAAAGACATAAGCACTTGTCTAACATTAGAGCGCGGCCCTCGTCATTTGGTTGAAATCGAAATTAGAAAAGAACTTTGCTTCGTAAAAGTAGTTTCAAATGCTTTGTTGTTAACAATACTTTCATTTCACATATTCACCAACACATACCAATGAATGCATGAAAATTTATTATAATTGCTTGTTTTTCTTTCTCGACATTTTGATTATATTCGTTCTTATGCTTTGTCCTTCCACAGTTATAATAATTTTCAACACTTTAGAAACATATGTAAACAAGTGTCGGTAGTAGCGCTTGCACTACTTACGTACATTTCTACGTATTTTAATAGGAAAATAGTTTTTTGATTAATAAATATTCAAACTCATAATTAAATATAGATATAATTAATTTTAATGAATTTCTAAGTTATTTCATTAAAAAAAAAAAAAACAAAAAAACAAAACAAGAAGTAACACCATTGTTATGGACATAAAAATGCGTCCGTTATGTCTTGAAAATAACTCAACGTAATTGTTTAACGAGTTTTGCTTACGAGTTTTAGGGCAGAGATAAAATTACTCTCTCTATAAATTACTAGATCTTTCAGTTGGAAAAGAACTGTGTCATGGGATAAATCAAAAAATTATCGACCCAACAGTGCAGCAAGTTCGGCTCTTTCAAAGGTGGAAAACAGGTCTTACAAAAGCCTTATCTATATCGCCCTTGCATCTCGCTGCTAAATCTCAAATATTGTGCAACAGGAAGTAGTTATTCCATCTGTTTTTTCCCTCGTGAGTAATTAAAGATTAGCATCGATCGCTCTACGATATATTGAAGGACCGTTTTCATCGAACGTGAACCAAATTCGTCGGGGTGGTATGTTACACAAATATGGATCGTCGAAAATTTTGTTATTTGTTTTGTTTATACCGAAACGAAGATTAACCCATAGTTTAATCGATCGCTTAACTAAATTTGAAATAAATTTTTTAAATTTCTTTGTTTTCATGATAAGCATTCTGCGAGTGCTTTTGTGTAAGTAGAAAATATCTGGAAATCAGGCTAAAAGTTTACATTGGTGTGATATATTCTCCACAGGACGTAATCAAAAACCCCTAGAAAGCCATATTATCATCAACCTCATTAGCTTTAATTGTCTTTCACTGTAAATAGGGACGTGAAACTAATACATGTCTAAGCAACAGTCTTTGGCTATAGTCAAGTATTGTGTGAACTCGTCTCACTACACAATTCGTAACGACAGTTATTCGCAACATTAAAAATCAATGGCCCTTGGATTAGCGTACATTTTGCGGACGGACGGACGAACATGCCTAAAGCGATTCAGAATTTGGCTTAGTATTGAGAACGAGCCATGTGAAACATTCTGACATATTTCCATTGAACAGACAGATTAAATATTGGACAGACGGAGTAAAATGATTAGTGAGTGATGATGGTGCTGTCTGGAACAGAAATATGAACAAGGTAATAAATGAATGAAAAGTACGAGACGGAGTTGCCGAGGGAGCTTCGAAGCTTAAGCGGCGGAAGAAATTTCTCTGCGCACGTTCACGGTCTCACTATTGCTAATCCTATCGTGGCGCTCATTAATTTGGGTAATTGGATTGCACGGGGGAGGGTAGTTATTGGAATTCATAACAGACTTAGAAGGACTGAGTTTACGACCCGTCTTAGGCTAAAGTTTTGTGATCGTCTCATGTATATGTTGCTGGCGCGACCATGTACAGCGTTATGGTCATAAGCAGAGTGTGTTAAAATTCACTAATACATGTATCTTTGTCAGTTTCTCTTATTAGGGAGCCTGCTGGGGAGTGACGACAAGCGGTTTAACATCCTTTTCCTTTAGTTTAGTCTGTTTATATAAATAAATTACAGATAAGTACTAATAATGACCCAATCAGTGGCTAAAGTAGAAAACTCGTATTTTGATGAAGTTTGTAGATGTGTTTTAAAATAAACATTTCATTTACCTTTTTCTGAGCTGTTAAAGCAGCTGCCGCCGTACTTCGTAGAGTTGGAACCTTTTTCGTTAATAAATTTTCTTTAAATTTCGAGGTTAAATTATCATGCGTTGCAGAATTTTTGTTTTGCCCAGTTGGGCCGGTTGCATTTGGTAAATAAGATTGACTGCCAGGCGGTATTTGATTTGATGGCAATAATGTTAACGATCCGTTGGTGTTGGTCAGAGTTGGAGCCATGAAGCTGGGCATACCCAATGGTACTAAAAAAAAAAAAAAAAAATGAAATGATTGAGGTTTTGTGATTGTGATATTACGTAACAATGACATAACATACCAGTCGTTAGGACAGCATTGCTGGGAGCGGTATTCGTTGAAGTTAACAAGAATTTCGTCGAAACATTTGCATTTTGTCCCGTTTGTAAAACTGCAGGCAATATAGAAGGAATCAGGGATGGTGGGGGTACGTTGTATAATTGATTATTTGTTGTTGCATTTGATGGATTCAACAGAGATGAACACTGCATGGAAAGGCAGTGTGGCAAATGCTGATGTTGTTGCGATTGTTGTGTGTTAAAAGCGCAGTTAAGGTGATGTTGTTGAAACTGTATTTGTTGTTGCTCTTGATCCAATTTGCGTTTGCATTCTGCACATGATGGCGACACAGTGTTTGTATTAATAACATACGGTACTGCATTGGCACGCGCATTTGAGCCGACCGTCGACAACTTAGGTGCTTTAGGCCCATGCCAACACTGGCACGTACACGGCACTATACCAACCACCCGCAGTCCCATCGGACTCGGTTCATTTAAATTTGTCGCAGAAATTTTGAATAATTTTACTTTGTGCCTTTCGCTTAATGAAAAAAACTCCTCAACGTGAAACACTGAAAAGAAATTTAAAAACGAAAGCCAATTGATAAGAGTGTTGAACTGCTTTGAAAAGCTTTAAAAAAGTTATATTTATCTTTGATCGAATCAAGGAAATCAAGCATTTTTTATAAAAATTGTAAAATATTTTCATAATTGCAGGCCGTTCTGTCGTCCTGAGCGTCTTTGTCTTTCTGTTACGTAGGTGTATGAAGTTTTGTGCTTTACTTGTTGGTCGCTATTCTCGGGATATTTTCTTGAAATTAGTTATAGCTTCGGAGTCGGATTATCGTTACAGTCTCCTCCCAAATAAAGCGCTATTTGCGTTAACAGGTTTTTTGTGAACAAAACTTTTTCTTTTTAATATTTGTCGACAAAAATGACGAATAATACTAAATGAATGCGCAAAAATTCGATTAAGCTAACTGTATTTTTTTTGTTCCCCTCCCTGAATAAGTTCGAAGGATGGCATTTATACGCCGCCACTATTGACCGTTCCATATGATTATTAGATAGAACCAACTTTGGAACGAAATGCTTCAAAATTTCATGTTTCAGCGCCTGCTTTAGTGAGACTATTGTTGTTTTTGTAATAGGATTGAAAAATCTGAATTCCGTTTCTGCCGTTGCTAATGCCAAGGTTTTTGATTTCTCGGTATAGTGTGATGAAAGTTGAACTAATATAATGAGTGGATAAGCTTGCTGTGGGGGGTGAGTTGAGTTTAATTAGGTCTTCACATCACTTTGCTTACATCAAGGTCTTTATGTAATTTTTGATAGTTTATGACGAAGAAGTGTGTTAGGCTAAGAGGTGTAGGGCATCTAATAAATTGTGTCTCTATATAAATGTAGCTGCTGAAGTGTATTTATTCGAATTGCGGACACATATCACAAAGTTCGACTTTGCGGCCAGAGCACTAACAATGATTTCTTGACAATTGTGAAGATAAAGTTACACTAAAACTTAATTGATGTATTTATGAATATCTTTGTAAACATTTAAAGAGAGAAACACTTTTTAACATCTTTAAAGTAATGAAAAGATAAGCAATCAACCCAATTATAGGCATTCATAAGTGTTGTAAATGAAGCGATACAATCAATGTATACGCACATTTTCCTTTTCTACATCATATTGAATGTGCACTAATCACATTTACAAACATATATGCGTATATGCATAGAAATATCCGTATATGCATGCATTTGTATCTAGTTAATATCGTAAATTGATTACATCTTGAGGCAATTGATATACTTGCTTTCGTATACTCTACATCCATGCTTAGTTATAAAAAAGGTATGCTGCTCTTTGTAGAAACGTAAAAGATAATAAATATAAGTGTGCTTATGTGTGTGCCTATGTTTATGTATTAGCTTGCCCAAGCGTACGTATAAACTTCATGGTTGTTACTGTGAGTGATGTAAAAGTTCATTGAAACTTTGTCAAGAGGGAGAAACCAATTTTATGACTGAGTGCATTTTAATTTAAGGTGCGCTTTTTCATCATCGCAGTGAAACACAAATTTTTATGTTGCTTTATAGAAAAGAAAAAAAAAAAAAAAAAAAAGAAAAAAAATCTTTTCACATTTAAAATTTTTATTTTTTATTGTTAAGAAAAAAGAAAAAAAAAAAAAAAAAAAAAAGAAGATAAACAAAAAAGAAATCGTTTAGAAAAGATCGATAGTAAAAGACTTCTGCAACCCCATACTGTGTGTATATATGTACATGAACACAAGCCAAGCAAAAAGACCCAAAGAAGTAACAACAATTAGTAAATCGTTGCAAAACGTTATGTAATAAAATAGATCAGAGGCAATAAATGCCGGACATTAGAAAAAACAAGAAACCGATAAAACTTATTAGATTTAACTTCTTTAGTGTTTCGTTGTTGTTAAAATGTTTTTACAATGGATTCACAACCACAAGCTTCTTACAAAGTCCTGTAATAGGTAAAGGATCAGCAATATCAAAAAGCAAACTTTTTTTATCATCTGCGCCAGTAAGCCTTTTTTAAAGCTACTATCTCTACTAAAATAGGTTTAATTCAATGCTTCTTAGGGCCCAGACAATGAAGACTGTGCTGGCTCAAAAGCACTCGGCGAGATACGCTGGCAACACAGTATACTATATTCGCCAACCTAAGTCATGATAGTAGAAGAAAAAAAATCGTTACAGTTTACCTATTTTCCTTAATATTGGAGTGATTCCACAATAACAAGAACGTTTACATAGTTCGGGAATGACGAGTAATGGGCAGAAAACGATATAAATATATTTAAATGGATCGTGATTAATGAGTGGTGGCTACTAGACTCGATTCCTCTCAAAAAGACTACATCGCTTACCCATACTCTAAGAATAGAAAGCAAATAATAAATACATTCTTGTTCTTCTTCTTCTGCGAATGGGAACATCGACAACAATTTACTGAGTTGAGTAAACAAATCTAATGGATATCAATAACGGATAACATTAGGGCCTAAGAAATCTCATGGAAGCGTTCTGCGTTTGTTCTCGTTCTGCCGTCAGAGCTGTTAAGCGATACTGGCAGGCCATGGTGCAAATACTACAATATTTTAGGTTGATTTCTTCCTTTTCGTCCATTTGTTCTTCGAACTGTTTGAAAACAACAAAATATGTGTAAATTTTTTTTTGAAACCTTCGGTCAAACGCAATCGTCCTACTAGGGACAACTTCTGTATCCGCAATTAATAATTGCTTAACCGATTCGCTTGAGCTCGTGCCTGCTCCACACTAATGCATAACAGACGGTATCGACAACCGAATAATCTTGTCCGGCATTTATTTTGAAATGTAAACATGAAATGCCAACCTTCGGCATTGAAAATGTTTTCTTCTTCAGTATTCCCTTCTTTCATTTGTACGCAACACGATGTTGTCTCAGCTGTGCGTAATGTGCGGCAACAAAAATGTAAATTTGCAGCTCGGGAGAGAACAAACAACCACAAAAATTACGGTTAACAGGAGAACACTCCTCGTCAAGGAAATGTGGGCAGGAAAACATCCAAGCCGATACACTTTCCTTCGTTTCCTCCTTTTTCTTTTTTGTGAGATTTTTTGATATATATATATATATATATATGTAGTAAAGCAAGTTCTTTTTTATTTAGCTTCAACTATTAATCACTCTTAACTTACGCTCTATGCACCGATAGATGTTGGTTCACTGTGTATCGATTGTCATAACAAGTATTTTTATATTAAGTATTACTCCTTTTTATGGAATCAATGAAGACGTCCAAACGGTAGACATAGTAGAAAATACTTAAACTTAAATTGCTCTTCTCTATAACATCCACACAAAACAAAAGCCTATGCATATCCATATGTAAACCTAACAAAAGTTAATCAATGCGCCACAAATTCTTTAATTGAATCGTACATGAAACCAAACGAAAAACTTTCATATAAAATTTGTTTACTTGAACTCAATGAATATATAATTAACGCGAACGAAAATCAAAAGTGAGAAATAAACGCAAATTTTACTTTCATTTATGGATGAGTCGGTTAAACCCGCCACCATAGAAAATTAGCTGGAAAACATGCTTGCAGTGACCTAAAAAGTCATCACCTGTAGAAGCTATGGAATCACAAGATTTTAAAGAACCTCAATGGGTTGGTCGCTAAATTTGAAGCTAACAGTGATAAAGGGACCCCAGCATTGATTTGCTTAACATGAAGTACACGTTGATGAATTGTCTATGTAACGCCCTTTGGACTTTAAATATCCTCCACCTGTAAATACTAGATTTTGCCGCTACCGCGTACATACACATCTGATACGTACCATAAAGTACAAATCCCCTATCACCATTATCACGTCCTTTGACTGTTATCACAGCCCGGCATTCTAGCGCTGGTTTGTAACGGAAAAAGAGAATCTTATCAAAACCCTTTGGAAATTATGCCATATGTCGGCAAACATTTCGAGATTGATTAACAAATAAAACAAAAAGGAAAATATTCTAATTACCGCAAATATTTTACTAGTAAATATTAAGGGCACCGTTATTACCTTTTGTTTTTGCATTAAATTAAAAAATTCTTTTCAAAATTCTTTGTAAAAAGGAAAAAAATTAATTTCTCTACATGATGGGGGGAAGGATTAAATGAAAGCAATAAATTTTAAAATTAACCTTTCATAACCGCTTTGCCAACCCTTTTCTAGCCTACTCCCGAATGGTAAAAGGAAACCCGCATAAGATGTGTCAAAAACTGTTGGTCATAAAGCATACGTTAGTAATTATTTAAACCAATTGAATATGAAGTGTGGAAAATGTACAACGGAAACCGAAAATCCTCATAGTCTGCAACACCCTTTCAGTTCGTATGGACACTCTTGACATTTTGCCCGCATGCATTCACCTACATCATGCATACATAGACACATGACAGACACAAAGGCTTTTATTTATTCTTTTACCCCAGCAGATAATTATTAATTTTTATTTTTTGTTCACTTCGAGTAATCGAACGAAATTCATATTTCGATTGCCATAAATAGTTAGGCGTAATGGGGAATAGACAGCTGTGGCAAACGGGAGCAACGGGGGTGAAAGAGAAAACTAATTTCTCCAAAAACTTGCGAGACATTGTATGAAAATTAGTTCCCTCTACCCGAATGATAGGTATCTGCACTTCGGTTCATGACGGCGACAGTTGTTATCTGGTTATATGTATGATTATATAGCTATGCTAACGTCACCGTTTTTTTGTTTTTTTTTTTTTTTTGTCTTGTTTTGTTTTGTTTTATTTTACCGTCGTCGTCATAACAAGCAATTTTTTGGTAATAAAATATTTAAATTTAATTAAGGCCAACGGACGAACCGGATTTTTCGTTTTTGGTTTTTTCGGTTTTAAGGGAACGCATTCTTTTGCAAATTCTAGCGAATATATTCATTCATTCCTATCGTTGATATGATAACGATGGTGCGGTAGGTGGTAGCAACACGTGTGTTAGTTCTGGAGAACAATGAAAAAGTGCCGGTTGATTTTTATTTTTTCCTTTCTTTTTGTTGCTATTGCTGCTAACTTTTAACACATTTTAGTTTGCGAAGATTTAATTTTCTTCTCTATTTCGGGGAAAATATAATTCATTTTGCAAAAATATTCAAAGCGTATGGGAAAACTTTTAAGAATTTAGACAAATTTGGAAAGGGCTGAATCCGTTTTGCATTTATCTTCACGCTCAGACAGTAAAATTCACGACTGAAAAAAGCTCCAATGCACACGTAGGGCACACAAAGTAAATCTTGCGGCAAGCGTCGAATGCTCATAAATTCCAAAAATATCATTCGAAAATCTCGTAAGATATATCCACCTTTTTCCCGCTCAATCGGCGGTCGGGTCATTTCGAAATTACGATTTCAAGAGTTTGACTGAAACAACAACAAATTACTCCATATACTTTTCATTCTACTAAAATTGATTTCAAAATTCAGTTGGAAAACTCCACTACAATTTTCTTGCTCTCCTTATTCTTAGAGACAGTAAATTCTCAGGCCCTAAAGATTCTTAAGGGTTTAGCATGTAAAGGCCATCGGCTGTATTGAAAACTCTAGCGAACTTGACATTTGAACCCACGACCTTTGAGATGTTAGTCGAGATCCCTTGGCTACCTGACCACTCAGGTGGATTTCTATTTGCGTAATAATCCTTCCCTTGTGAATTTGCTTAGTTGTGAAATCATTTATTTCGTGTTTGTCAGATATTTATAAACGAAACCTCGATTTCTCTATATTTTTCTTATTTCTCTTACAAGTTCAGAATGGCACGCGATAAAAACTGCTTGTCTTTTAAGGCAAGCTTGTCGTTGAGATATTTTCATACGAAGTGAGCCTCTGTCTGCCCCATGAATGGTAATCAGAAAAACTCGAGTTTAGTGAGTAACTTGCCAGTTGAGTGCTTGTAGCGTATCGCAAGCCAGTTTTGTTGTGTTGATCGACGGCCGAATATGGTGTGAACGAATGTGTTTTTTCTGTGGCAGTTTTTTTAACCCGCAGTCAGTTTAAATCGATCAATTGCTGTTGGCTGCGTTTGATATGAACCCTTTCATTTGACTTTGACTGCTACTAATAGACCTTACGCTTCTGGTCTCACCAAGCGCGGAATATTATTCTGCTGTTAAAGTGAATTAAACTCGCCATCATCGAGGATGGTACATTTGGATACATTAATGAATTTTTGCGCCTGGGATTTTCAAAACTGATTGACGACGTGTTACGATACGATGCAAAAAGAGGCCTCCTTTTGTATTGTCCCGGCAAAGAAAAAGTATTGTTGGTGAATGCATTTTACTTGGCACAGCACACGACATTTGCGTTGTTAGAAAAGTATTTTTGCGTGACGATATCTGATGATGTATAAAGCACTTCGGCAGACGTGTATATCCTCGACGAGTTTCATTCGGGCCATCTATTGACACATTCCAATTTCACATCTAGTATGGCAAAGGTTATCTTAAAAGTTTTTGTATTCAACTCTACAAATTTGAAAATACCAATTTACCACTCGAAGAAGCCATGTGATTAAATAATGTAATTTATAACAAGCTGGATTCAGAATGATCTGTGAAGACACATGCAATCTATCAAGCTTTTGATCTAATTAAATAATTACACGGCATTCATACACTGTTGAATACCAATAGTATCTTACCAGTTATTAAGTGGGTGAAAAAAGGATGGGCTTCTCGTTTCTTTGTCATTTTCTTGGTAACATTTGTTATCAGGTAGGAGAAATGCAAACGAGTCCCTACTGGATTTTCCAACAGATGCCTTTACTCGTTCGTCGAATATAATATAACTAAGATGTCAATAATATCTAGGAGGACTGTCGTGTAGATTTCGTTTCTAGTAAATATGCATGTTAACCCTCAAATAATACCTTTCAAAATTTCATATCATTTCGATCAGCATCATGGCAACTCTCGTAGGTGCACAACAAAGCGGGCATATGGGGCTAGCTGACCTAAAGACATCGAAAGGTTGTGTCTTCAGCATTTAGCTACTTTTACTCAGGATGGAACCAAAACATCATGCCACAGATCGGTGCCTAAACGACAAGATTGGATGAATTGAAGTTCGAATGCCTGTCTTACCGGTCATATTCTCCAAACAAACTTCCAGGCACTATTGCTTGTTGAAAAAATATCGAAAGTACACTTCAACGAAGAAGGTTTATATCGAACAATGAGGTTATTGAGGAAATTGTGGTACACCAAAAACCATCGAAATATTAGGAAACCGAAGGTTCACATGCGGTACATTAATGCAAATTTGAAAGTGAAAACGTAATGCAGCCCAAGTTGCTTTTCTTATTTGAAAACAATGGTTGATCAACTCGATCCTATAAATGTTTACCGGAAACGGCTTCAAAAATTAAAATACATGAAAATCGATTTCGACAATCTAGAGAAAGTGAAAGGCAAAGTATGTCCCGGAGCACCGAAGAAATTTGTTGTTCCTGAGTTGGAAGCAATATTGGATGAAACCGGTACGCAAAGATGAATAATGGCTGCGGAACACCTAACTATGAACCAGCGGAGCACGCATTTATTTAGATACAACAAGAAAACTTTGAAAATCAGAAAAATTGATGCCATGTAAGTTGAATAAGAAATATGTGGAGAATGGGAATAGGGGGAAGGGAGTCAAGAAAGAAATGCTACGTCACAAGTGTGAAGAAAAGAGTTTTGTTTGCAACGTAGGTAAGAACAGTGAATTTGATCAACTTAAGCAGCACGATCAAGTTTATGGACAGTTAAAAGCTCTTAAACCTGCTAATATCGACTCAAGGCTATCGATAAGAAGTATTCGACATGAAGATAACAAGTTTCTCTAGAAAATATCAGAATGCGCCATCAGATGCAATATAATAATCTTTCTTCAAAACTAAAAAGGCAACTTCAGCTCATTAGATTGGGATGCATTGCTTCAACCACTCTAATCATCGGACTATCGCTTACTTTGATGTAGCACTTCCTCTGCGAGCAATATCTCAGCGATTATGAAATCGAAAATTGGCTCTGCGTATAGTTTGCTGTGGAAGGCGACTAATTCTGCTCGAAACAGACAATTAGGATACTTAGCTAGACAGATAATGCTTGAATAAACTTTTTTGCGTTGAGGCCTTGATGTAAGGGCTTCTTTTCATAGAAAAAAATTAGAAAAAGTATTCCCTTCAAGGAACCTACGATAATAAACCATACCTGTGCATACATCATCTGTTATCCGAACTTCTAATTTTTTTTAAGAGGGGACGGAATTGGGAGCGTTAAAGTTAGTTAAGAATTTTCGGGAAATGAAATTCTACCGCTGCGCTGGGCAAAAGCAACAAAAGAAGGAGATATACCATCGTTGAGCTGTAAATGAGGCAAAGAGGCAAAAGTGGAGCAGAAAGGTGATAATCTGTGACAGTAAAAAGTTTTAATTGATGTAAACAATAAAAGAGAAGAGGATTCATGCAATGAAATTGCATCGACTGCATTCTTGCATTGGGCGAGAGGAACGACTTATATTATGAATTCTTATCGTAGTTTCAATTTTCGACACAGATTCTCCTTATTAAGCGGTAAAATAAACGAATTGGAAAGAAAATGGAGCAATTTTTTCGGTCTTTCTAATCAAGAATAAATTCTTCTCTTTCAATTATAAACATAAATATGTTGCATTACTTCCGCTCCATGAAAGTTGCGTTTATAGCGCCTCCGACTTCAAAACGCTCGGCGTGTCCTGTTAAATAAGTTCACGAAATTACTTCGTAAACCGGCTTTATTGAGACGTAATTAATTGGAAAATAATAAGAAAATATAAATTATTTTTATGTAAAATTTAAAAAAAAATAATTGTTGCGTTGTTGATTTTAGTTGAGAAGCCGCCACACATGCGCTTTAAAACGTTATAATGTTTTAATTTTCTATATGAACTTAACAGAATGAATCCATTGCATTATAGAAAATCCATGCAACTCTGTAATGACACTGTCAATGCTTTCGTACGCAATACAAAAAGAAAAAAAGAAAAAAAAGGCTATAAACAATCTGCATAACGTAAACATAAACAAGAGTGCAGTTTACATAAACAGGCTCTTGTACAGAAGCCCGCACAATACACACTCATATTAACAGAATGTATGCAATCACTCACACTATCTCGTAAACACACTCGCAGGCTTTAAAATAGAAGCACAACACAACAACAAATTGTATCGGAATTTTCTCAGCAGGTGACACGACAACGGAAATACTGGGGTATGCACCAGAAGCAAGAAAGAAAAAAACAAAAAACCAGAACGAACGATTGACACCAAAACACTTGATGCGCAAGTTTTGTTGTTTTGAGTCTTTTTTTTTTTTTGCCCACGATACACTGTATTGTTGTTATTCGCTTTAAATTAACCCGGTAGACCGCTTTTTTAAAATCGAATTTAAAATATTTTTCCGAAGAAATTCTTAAAGATTTTAATGTGTAAGCACTACGCCGTCGCGTGTCGTCAAATTAACACTAAAGAGTTGATGACTGGCTGTGCGTTTAAACGGACGCAAGGGTATCGTAGAACTACAATCGCATACATATACATAAATACAGACAAATACACACGCACACACATACACACACACACACATATATACATATATCCATATACATATATCCATATATATATATATATATGTATATATATATATAAATATATATATATGCACGCATACACCCAAAAAATTACAACAACTATAATCAAGTTGCCATAGTACTAGAAAGGCTGAGTACAGAAATGCCGCACATACAAATTGTGCAGATTGGATGAATGTCTACAATATGTATATAATGCGACAACAACCAACACAAACATACACATAAGTGTAACACACACTCGCATGCACACGTTCAAATATAAGTTCAAACAATTATACACCAGCAACCCTCATGTAAATACAGAAAAATATTTATATGCAGTATACACAGTTAGATACACATAACAATGCATCGCTCTGCATGACACTGCATATGTGTAATTGACATTACCAGAATTGTTTGTGTAGTTAAGTTGCGTTGAAAAGGATATCAAAAAAAAAAAAAAAAAAAAAAGCAAAAGACAATCAAAGCCATTATAATTTCTAATGGTATAAAAGCGTTGTGAAACTCCTTCTCTCTGAGTTATACCTCAGATCAAATACCGCCTCTTTTCTTCTATTCTTCTTCTTCGTGTTCTATATATGCCAGATAAAACAAAAGAACCTTATTTCAATTGTTGGGCACTTTGGCATATACTTAACAATTTATTGGATAAATACACAAGTACACAGGCACACCTTATGTACAAATGTGTAGTGCACTCAGACTAAGAGCTCTCTCTCTCTCTCTCTCTCTCTCTCTCTATCTCTCTCGCTGTAGATGACGTTGTGTGATATGCTAATTTCTACAGATTTTTTTTGCAATTTTATAGCAACAAACCAACACAATCATATTTATATGAAATTTTTGTCCAGTTTTCTATATCTATGACAACGTTTTAATGCTTATGAATATGCGATTGTATAGATGTGTGTCTAATATGCAAAAGTGCCATAGAGATAGATAATGTTATTGTAAGAGGTGTTAAGTGTATGTTTGCAGCAGTGATGAGAATATGAGAGAAATTCTGCAGTCTGTACAAGTTTTGTTGAACAATAATCCTAACCCATGTCGAACGATAAAAATGATAAAAGCTACACTTCACTTTATATAGAAATAAATAAAAGCCTTTGCATGGCATTAAAGGATTCATCGTAGTCGCCAATAGATCGTGAAAGGCGCCATCATTAGATGGCTCTAGAGAATCCTGGCAAGCATTAAAACTAAAGGTAGTCTAGAATTCGTCGGAACAAAACGTAGTGAAATATTCGAAGCTCATCCGAAGTTATTTCAATGTTTAGAATCCGGGAGATATATATATATTTATATATATATATAAATATAAATATATATATTTCGAACTCATTTACTTATTTTTCAAGTTGATTTGTGGCTGTTAATTTAAAAGGACTGCTCGGGGTTGTAAGCGTGTTCATAGGAATTTCACGTTTGTGATTAAACTTCGTCAACTAAAAACATGTTCCATTATACGGATTTGTACTCCAATTACTACAGTTACGAGCGTGGTTGATAAAAAGAAAACGGAAAGTTGCCATACTGACGGCCGTAATGACAGGGACATGTTCGAAAAGAAAAATGACTTCCTCATTACATCCTGTTCCAAGAGTCTCCCAGTAAGATGGCTATCCATCCTGCCAAGCCGATAAGTTTTTCCCCAAATAGAATTTCCATTGTTGTATAAATTTCCGCAGCTTTTAATGGGTTAATGACAATATTTATTTCTAAAAGTCGCTCTCTCTTACACATATATTCAGCTTTTTGCAGAAATATTTAACCACTACTAACACAAGTACAGATATAGTCGGGTCTGGTACAAAAACACGAACATCATTGGTTGGCAACGTGTAAATGAACACAGAGGCGGAGCTTTGTCGAAAAGCATCTCTCGCTTTCAACTTATTCATCCCTTTTATGGGAGGTGCCCTAAAATAAAAGAAAAATTACCTAATTTTATCTTATTAATTAACAATCACTTACCAAAAATGAAAATTCGTTTCACAAAAAACTTTTTACTAAATTAAAAATTTATCTTTTCGGGAAATTCATTAAGAAAAAAATTTGCCTTTATAGCCCCCATTCAAAATCACTTCATACGCCTTCACTGTTAATTGTTTACATGTTGTTTAGAAAGAAAAAAAAAGAAGAAAATAAATAAATACTCACAACATATGCGATACGCAGCAATACTTGTATTGTTAACAGTGTCCGTATTAGTGTATGCTTTATAAATGTCGTTCTCTGCAGCTTAAAATCTGATGTACGTAGTCAAATGTTTGTTGTTATTGTATTGTATCGTTATTTTTGTACTGCAATATTCTCTTGCGCTCTTTACTTTAAACTACGATACAAAGCAACAACAAAATAACATTAACAGCGGAGAGCAAACTATAGCGAAAGAAAAGAGAAGCCACGTGCTACTTTTGAATGGAAGAAAATGAATTTTCAAGCTCTGCTGATGAGATACATATGATAACATATTATGAATTGCTCATACGACAGCGAGAATCTTTGAAGGGGTATAGAAAAATTTCAAATTAGTGACAATTAAAACTTTAAACATAAGCCTAACATAAAATTAAAGGCCAATGGGTTTTCTATTGGGAAAAAAGCGGCCAAGGCTCTAATCTGTTTTAGTCCTAGAATTTAGCAGCTACTCTTTAGTATTTGAGACGATACTTTGAAAAAATGTAGTCATATAATTAATGAGAAATAAGGTTTATTTGTTTGCTTTCTACTGTGCAAAGCAGAATAAAGTTTCTGAACGGGTTGGAGAAAGAGAGATAATAATATAATCTTTGGCGCGATATTAGCAAGTCCTTATGCCGGTTTTAGTTGATGTGCATTTATTTTTACACCACACACTTAGATGCAGTTGCAATTGTTTTAGAACAATATAAGCTGTAATATATTGACTTCAGTCGTGTAACTAATTAAAAAAACACATACTTGCAATTCTAGATGTATTCGCAGGCAAACCAAGCTATTTCTGAATTCCAAAATCAAGAAGTTCAAAATTCTAGTACAAGAGGCAGTAGACCGACATATTTGCTTACTCGTAATATATTTTCATTTACCTAATAAAAAGGACAAGTAGCCACGTCAACGATACATTAAGGGGTGGTGGACCGACGGACATGCTTACTTGTAGTATATCTTCAATTGCCTAAGAAAAACGACTAGTAGGTATGTCAACAAGACATGCTGTTTTTACTTTAACATATGCAGTGGAGATAAGTGATAACAATGGTTGAACTTCTTAAACAAAATTCGAATAAATGTTATTATTATTGTTATGGTTATAATTAGTTTAGCCAGAGAAATGCATTCTAGAACTAAAATCGTAATGCACTAACATCTGCAGTTATCGTCCCAATTGCAAACTCTACATGCTGAGCCCTCCCTTTGCCCGTTGAGTCGACATCCAGAATAAATAACTTATTATTTGCTTAGAATTTGATGAGTGAAAGTATGAAAAATTTGAGAGTGAAATGTTTTCAGATGCTAAAGTGAGGGCTTTAAAAATAATTACTCGATCACTCTTTTTTTGGTTACGAGCCGTTGAATTCGCTTCAATATTGCTTCAATGCTTTTATACGAACATATGCGCCTTCTACGCAGATTCTAGTTTCTTTACGAGACAAAATTGCAATTCCTCAAGTTTTGTGCTAAGGTCGTTGCATAAAAAGGTGTGCTTAAGCGTTTTCTCTAGGATTGAATTCTAGGAATAAGTAATTTAAACTTCATTCTACACGAGATGTTAAGACTTCGCAATTGACCACGTGACAGTAATCGAAAATATATATGGGGGAATTCAGACAGCAAGATGACTTAAATATGAATACGTTAAATATATACGAAGCTGAAAAATGCACCTTCTTTTTCAACAAACCTCTCCACCCCTGCCAAATAAATAAATTCGTAATATTAATTCGTAATTCGTAAAATTTGTTAAAGCTCGAATTAATTCGTAATTCGTAAAATTTGTTAAAGCTCGAATTAAGAGCAAAGATGAGAAGCAGCACTCTTAACTTTGTTCTTTGTGCCCTTTCACTAAAAAATATTGGACGTACGGACATCCCAGATCGCTGATGTTGGTTTTGATGGTCGCTTCGCTTCTAATTCATAATTAAAAACGAATCAATGTTTGGGCAGACTCACACCGATATATGTATCTGTTGTGTGTTTTCGTCAAACGATGTTTTCTGGCAAGTGCGTAAGAATAATTCAAGTAATTTAAAAGAAAATTTACTGGAAAAGAAAAATTAAAAAAAAATTTTTTACAAAAATTAGATCTAACAAAAACGAGTAAGAAAGTTATATTCTACGAGAGCCGAATCTCGCATACCCACCACTATGCTTTTCGCATTCTAATCTCCAAGTTCGTTTATTTGACACCCATATCGCTAGTACTATGAAGAGAAAATTAATCGCCGTATCTGCCATATTCATTTTAAGATTAACCCATTCTTAGGCAGATAATATCTCATCATATGAGAAGTTTACAAAATAGTTTTAAACATTCTGTCTTGTTTGTCTAAGCTTAAAACTTCTAAAAAGTGACAAAAACAGAATCCATTCGCTTGTAACTTTGTGTGGGCATGCCCGATTTTTCCACTTTTGCACGCAAAGGGTAGACGGTTTCCTAAAGTAATTCGGGAAAATTTCAGCCTTCCGACTTTACTAAATTCCGGGTAACCAGCAAAGCCCCCCGCAAATTTTTTTAAAGAAAAACAAAGTTCAGTTTAGTTTACACCCTCCTATGCTCTTCTGCTCTGACCAATTTGGTCCATTTGCGACCAACGTACAGAAGCTTTCAGCGATCAGGA